CATTGTATATTTTTGTGTCATTTAACAAAGATGATCATAATATATGTTGCCAATTTCTGAAAATAAACCTGTCATTAAATAATATCTACATAGCATCTAATGTGCTGCATATTTTGGCAGAGCTTTAAAGGTTTTAATCAAGTGCTTTGAAGGGGCTTATACAATCTAGCATTTTCATGATGATGAAAGGACAGCCTATAAGCAGCAGGAGCATCAAATACTACTCCTCAAACAGTAAGGATAAGCAGAAAGTACTGAATTTCAATGGTGCCATTGAACAAAAAAGGGAAACTTCACATAATTAAAAAACTGCAATGTGTGTAATATACCCAGAGGACAGAATGTAAGAAACTGGAGAGAGTGGTAGGCTTAAAGTGGGAGTAGGTCAGAAACCTTTTCTCCCAGGATATACAATAAGGAATCCATTACAGAGTGCCCATATGAAATAGTAAATAAAAAAAATAAGAACTTTATTTGCAAACAAGTGGCTAATATATTAGCTGTTTTTTTATAAAGAGGACCCCAAAAGGAGATTACCAGAACTCAATATCTTGTAGCTTTCTCCAACAGCTGGAAGGCGAATTCCATCCTTCAACCAATGAACTACAGGCTGTGAAACACCATACGCAGTACAAGGAATTATAGTTGATGACAGTTTACTAATAAATATATTTCTTACTTCATCTGCAATGGATGGTGGCACTAAAGATTAAATCAAAGACAAATACAAGAGTTTTTCATCTGGATATTGATGTATCCTTTATAGTATAATTCCTGAACAACAATAAGGCAACATAATGTTTTAACATTTTTTCATAGCTATCAGACCATACCTGTTACTTTTCTAAAGCAAATTATTACATAAAAAACAACTTGATTACCTGCTATATGAATTGTAAACTTTTTGGTTTGCACTGATTTAAATAAATGTCTCCCAACGCCTCTGATCGTTAACCACTAGCCTACAGGGCACTTATACCCCCTTCCTGCCCAGGCCAATTTCCAGCTTTCAGCACTGTTGCACTTTGAATGACAATTGCGCGGTCATGCAACACTGTACCCATATGAAATGTTTATCATTTTTTTGTAACAGATAGAGCTTTATTTTGGTGGTATTTAACCGTTTCAATACCGTGCAATTTTACACCTTCCTGCCCAGGCAATTTTTCAGGTTTCAGTGCTCTCACACTTTGAATGACAATTGCGCGGTCATACAACACTATACCCAAACTAAAATTTTATCATTTTCTTCACACAACTAGAGCTTTCTTTTGGTGGTATTTAATCACCACTGGGGTTTTTATTTTTTGCTAAATTAACAAAAAAAGACCAAAAATTTTGAAATAAAAACACATTTTTCTTTGTTTCTGTTATAAAAGTTTACAAATAAATAATTGTTCTTCATAAATTTAGGCCGAGATGTATTCTGCTACATGTCTTTGGTGAAAATAACCCAAATTAGGATGTATTTTTTAGTTTGTAGGAAAGTTATAGAGTTCACAAACTATGGTATAGATCTGAAAATTGATCAATCCTGAAGTACTGACGGCCAATCTAATTTCTTGAGGTCCAAGAATGTCAGAATAGTACAGATATCCCCAAATGACCCCTTTTTGCGGAGTAGACAGTCCGACGTACTTCATAAGAGGCATGGCGAGTGTTTTGAAGTTGTATTTTTTTGTCATAATTTTTTGGAAAATGAAAAAATGAAAAAAATTATTTTCACTATTTTTTTTTTTACATACTGTCACCAGTGCAGTACAGCGTCATCATATAACTGGCATGGCGGTGAACAGGGACACTGACTGGTGACAGTATGAAAAAAAATATATATATATATTTTTTTTTTTTTTTAATTTTTTTATTATATTTAATTTTTTATTAAATTTTTTTTTTATTTTTTTAAAGATTTTTTTTCATATTTTACTATGACCAAAATAGTACAATGTTACCATAGTAACATTGTACTACTTTGGGGAAGTGATCAGTATTTTTTTTTTTTTACACAATTTGCTTATAGCAAAGAATTACTTTGCTATAAGCAAGCATTTACCTGAATGAAATCGATTCATTCAGCTTTTTTTTTTTTTTTTTTTGTGCTTAGCTGTGATTTGGTCACAGCTAATCACATGACATGTGCATGTGATTAGCTGTGACCATTCACAGCTAGGCACTAGTATACAATGGATGGCATCATGAATGGAGCCATCCATTGTATACAACTGTCATGTGACCTGCTGTGATTGGTCACAGCAGGTCACATGGTACCAGCAACGGGAGCCGGTACTCGGATCTGTCATCGGCCGTGTCCGAGGTGCACGGCCGATGACAGATCGCACTGCTGCGCCGCTCTGCACTAGCGCAAACGGCGCATGTGCGGGAGCACGCCAAATGGCGTGCACCCGGAATGCAGATACACATCTGAAGCCGCCAAACGGCCATTGGCCGGGCGGCTAATGGTTAATCACCTCTGGGTTTTTTTATTTTTTCTTAAACAAACCAAAAACCACTGAAAATTTTGAGAAAAAAAACATTTTTTCTTAGTTTTGTTATAAAATTTTCTAAATAAGTGATTTTTCTCCTTCACTGATGTGAGCTAATGAGGCTGCAGTGATGGGCACTGATGGACACTGATAGGTGGCACTGATGGGCACTGATGAGGAGGCACTGGTAGGTGCCACTGATGGGCACTGAAAGGCAGCACTCATATATGGCACTGATAAGCGGCACTGATAGGTGGCACTGATAGGCGGCACGGACTGGCATTGTTAGGTTGCACTGACTGGCACTGTTAGGCGGCACTGATAGGCAGCACTGACGGGCACTGTTAGGCGGCACTGATGCACACTAATAGGCGGCACTGACAGGCACTGATAGGCGGCACTGACTGGCACTGATAGGTGGCACTGATTGGCAGCACTGATAGGTGGCTCTGACTGGCATTGATAGGTGGCACTGACTGGCACTGATGGGTGACACTGAATTAACTTGATTACTTGCTCAGATGGGCACTGAAATGTGGCACTGATGTGGCACTGGCATGGATGAGCACTGAGAGCTGGCACTGATGGACACTGACAGGTGGCACTGCTGGGGCTACACAGATCATCAGGGCACACTGATTATCAGTGCTCTATATGATCTGTGTACATGTCCCCTCCGACGAATGTCGATTACCAGCTCTCCTCTCCTCTGTCACCGTGACAGCTCGTGAGGAGAGAAATGCCGATAACTGGCATTTCCCTGTTTACATGTGATCAGCTGTGATTGAACACAGCTGATTACATGACCGAGTCGACATCTTTGGCTCTTTCCATGGATGGGTGATTCGTTGTGTCCGAGGGACACAGCGCACTGCCGATCGCTGCGCTGCGCACTCCGGGAGCCGCGCATGCGCGGTGAGAATGGGAGGACGTCATATGACGTCCTCCCAGAACAAGAGAACCACCTTGCGTCCGTCATATTACTATATGGCGTGGCCAGAGGTGGTTAAAGTGAAACTTTACCCATAATAACTTGATAAAAAATTATGTTCTTTAGCAAGGAATAATTACCAATACTACCAAAAATAGTATGTGCTGTAAATTGCCTCCAGTATTGTTCTTATTTCTTCTTGCTGGAGGTGGCCATTTTGCTGAAGCGCAGAGCTCCTGAGCAGCATTAAATCTTTAGGCAATCAGCAGATCGGCCTTTACAAATTCGGCACAGTGCAACTGAGCATGTGCAGAGCAGGGTGAAACAGTGTATTACTGGATGATTTTAAGCAGTATAGGAACTTATTTTTAACATTTTACATAGCTATACATCCAAAAGGGCCAGCATAAAGTAATCTAGCAGAACTTAATTTTTTGCCTAAAGTTGCACTTTAATGTTATTCAGACATGCTGTATCTTCCCAAAGCAAGACAACACAATGTCAACTGCAAAGCAACAGCTGAAATAATTATAGCTAATAAACATTTTATTTAACTACAAGACTTTATTTACCAATTTTTAAAGGAATGATGTTCCTGTTGTATTTGATAAATTCACATTATTATGTTTTGCCTAATAATACTGCATAATACTGCATTGATACTGTAAATTCCAAGACACAATGTCATTGGGAGTCACAGAAAGGGTGTTTGTAGGTCTAAAAGCCAAAGAGACCCTTTTCAGCAAGACAAGGCTATATCACTACAGATGCATTTTAATGAAAGATGCAGTTTGGTATGTGAATAATGTTTTTTTTTTTGTTCCAAAAATACTTTATTGATTTAAGGAAAGACAAAAGCATTTAGAGCATGTACAGCCATAGATCACAGTCAAAACATAGACATGACATGTTGCTTCCCGTTTCACAGATGGGACTAATTGTAATCAGTTGTGCACAACAAAAACATGTAGAACAGTACAACCATCATACAAAGTAAACTAGTGGAAACCGAGAGGAAAGTGGATAAAGTGATGTTAGTGAATGTTATCTTGTCCTGACTCTCATCAAGTTTTTATTGGCAAAGCAGTGTTATGATAGAGATAAGGGTAGGGAATGCATTGGGTATTGTGAAGGTCATTGTTTACATAGTGATAAGTAGCCGTATGTGCTATGGTCGAAGTTAGTCATATCTGTGTGCAAGTAAATGCTCTATTTGATTGGTAGAGAAAAAATGATACAGGTAAACAACAGGTGTGAAGACAAGCGGTTAGAAAGACCGATAGTAATAGAAAGAATTGTTAGGTGAGATATTGGGGAAGAAAGAGAGAAAAAAAACAAAACAAAAAAAAAAGGGAGGGGGGAGGGGTAAGAAGGCATTACATCCTCATGCATAGTCCCAGCCAGCCAGGTAATATTAGAGCTTAAAATATGATGTGTGAAGGATCTGTCAGTGGGTGACGCAGGTATCAAGAACCCCAGAAGGCATGGTGAGATATGGATGTGCAGACCATCCTTGTGCGTGAGAGTGAATAATGTTATATAATACATACAGTATAATAAACAATAATTAGCAAAGTTGTACATTTGGCCTTACCAAGTACTGAAAGATAAATTGCAAGTTCATCATGACCTGCATCATTTGAGGCAGAACACACATACATCCCTGTGTCTTCTACAGTTGGAGAAATGATTATGAGAGATCCTGAAGAAAGAAATCTAGAAATGTAAGAACACATACGTTAGCTTCTAGCATAATACAATTGTAAAAAAAAATTAAATCCTATAATGAAAATAGCTAGTATATGAGAAAATTTGTTCACTTTGAATACCTAAACATTTGCAAGCAAAAAAGAAAAAAGTTTTTTTTTTTTAATCTTTTTTTTCTCACATGAATGAGTATGCAAGGTGAATACAGATGAATTCACCTTATTTATCAACATTCGGTCTGATAAAGTGAACAATAACTTTGCATTTTAGTAAATCTGATTGTACATCAATTTGATTGTACATCAAAGCACTAAATTGCATTTAATTCATAACTTTGCTTTACTCAGCTTTAAATGATCTGTGACCTGTGGCTTAAAATACACATGCAGCTATATTATTCCTTAAAACTAGTTACCCAGTTATTGCCTTGTAAAATGTATATTCTGCCTTTCCTCTATTATTATACAGTTTAGACATACAGTATTTTAGGCATCTGAACACAATTTTATATTATGCAAAAAGCACATAAATGAACAAATATCACTGATGTAATTTATATAATTTGAAGCATTAACAGATATCCAACAGAATCTAAGATTATATGTAAAAGTAATTGGCTCCTGGATACATCAGGCCAGTAAATGTTTAGCTGGCATTAGGAAGACCAGGAACCTAGTACACATTAGAGGTAAGGAAACTCTTTGGAGCGAAACATCCTCAACGTCACAGAACAAGTCCATTTGAATACAACTAACTACTACTAGGTATACCATGGCCTGGATACATGAGAACCTTCAAAGTCAGATAAATGGATAGTTATGGTAAACTGAGGTATGATTATAGCCAACATCATCAAGAAAGAATATCCAAGAAGAACAAAACACTTGGATCAAAGTTAATTCCTGAAAGGAACAGAAAAAAGCTGTTGATATGTATCAGTCTAGAAAGGGCCACAAAGCCACATCTTAGGCTTTTAGTTTACACAAAAACATGTTATGAGCCATAATCTCCTCATTTGGAGTAGTAGTGTTCCCAAAAGTGGTTTTCTAGAGAAATATAAATCATCCAAGAAGTCAGAAAACATGTTCAGGAACTGTTGGTTTCTATTTTTCCAGCTAAGGTCAGTGTTCATGGCTCTAAAATTGGCTCCAAAATCAGAAAGACACTGGACAGAAATGGGTTTCCTTTGAGACTAGCAAGCCTTAAAGCAGAGTTACATCCAAAAGGGGAAGCTCCGTTTTAAAGATTGGTCCCTCGCTCCCCATTAAGGATTGGTACCTTTTGGGGATCGGGGGAGGAATGGGTACCCAAATTTGACAGGCACCCGCTCCCACTTCCACTGCAATTGCCTAGGTGGTCCAAAACGGAAGTTGTCCTCCTAACCTCCCTCCCCAAAGTCTTGTGGGACACGTGACAGGTCCCAGAAGACAACGGGGCCATTCAGGAAGTGCAGCGCTGCTACCACATGTACAGTGGGCACCTGGCTGTGAAGCCTTAAGCTGTCACAGCTGGCTGCCCACACTGAAGATGCCGGCCTCCTGGAGTACAGGACAGCCAGTGAAACGAGCTGTGGCCGGGGCAATGCGGGGATCGTGGGACAGGTAAGTGGCTGTTTTTTAAAAGTCAGCAGCTACAGTTTTTGTAGCTGCTGACTTTTGTTTTACAGAGTGATCTCCGCTTTAAACAACTACTATTAACCAAGAACATATGTACTTCTAAGTTAGCTAGGAAGCACCTACTCAACCAACAATCTTTAAAGAAGAACTTAAGTGTATCTGAGCAACACAAAATGAGAATACAGTTTAATTCATTTGTAATATTCAAAGCAATATCACCCATCCATCCATGTTCCCATGCATTATTTTGTTGAAAAAAAAACTTTGAAAAAAAAAAACCCTGACATTCTAGCCATGGCCACGGCCTTCTTGAGTAAGGGTAGATGATTCACGTAGCATTTACTTCTCCATCTGCTCTTAGCTCAAACATGTATGCAAGTAGGTGTGCTTAGCTGAGAAAGACCTCCTCCCTTCCTCCAGCTTAAAGAAAAAAAATGTCCATGAACACTGAGTTATATGACTCAGGAATCAACTAAAGAAATGTAAAAAAGTAAAAAGCAGCATTTTGTCAGAAAATACGCTTGACGCTGCTAAACGCGTGTTAACGCTAGGCTCTTTTAACATTTGAACATTGATTCATTTCAATGGGCAGAATAAATTAACATTCTGCCCAATGAAAGGAATTAACACCCAAGTGCTTGACACTTGTAAATGTGCCTAAATGCTTGTAAAAATGTTAGAATTTACAAGCGTCAGGATTAAAACAGCTAATGTTAAATAAGAGAGTTAAGTTCTACTTTAAGCCTATATTGATATATAAGACAAAAGTGAAACCTTTGGGATGAATTGCATCCTGTTATGTATAGCATATACAGTGAAGGAAATAAGTATTTGATCCCCTGCTGATTTTGAATGTTTGCCCACTCACAAAGAAATGATCAGTCTAAAAATCGAATGGTAAGTGTATTGTAACACTGAGAGACAGAATAGCAACAACAAATTCAAAAGAAATGCATGTCTAACAAATTATGCACTGATTTGCATGTTCATGAGGGAAATAAGTATTTGATCCCCTTCACAAAACATGACTTAGTACTTGGTGGCAAATCCCTTGTTGGCAATCACAGAGGTCAGATGTTTCCTGTAGTTGACCACCAGGTTTTCACTCATCTCAGGAGAGATTTTTCCCACTCCTCTTGGAAGATCCTCTCCAAGGACCACAACACTTTCAACCAGTCCTTCTCTGCATCATTCAGATGTTCAGTGGCAAACTTCAGAGGGGTCTGGACATGTGCTTTCTTGAGCAGATGGACCTTGCAGGCACTGAAGGATTTCAATCCTTGTCGGTGTAGTGTGTTACCAATTGTTTTCTTGGTGACTGTGGTCCCAGCTGATTGGAGATCATTGACAAGACCCTCATGTGTAGTTCTGGGATGATTCCTCACTGTTCTCATGATCATTGACACTCCACGAGGTGAGATCTTGCATGGTGCACCAGACCTAGGGAGACTGAAAGTTGTTTTGTGTTTCTTCCATTTGCGAATGATTGCACCAACTGTTGTCACCTTCTCACCAAGCTGCTTGGCAATAGTTTGGTAGCCCAGTCCAGCCTTGTGTAGGTCTACAATCTTGCCCCTGACATCCTTGGGCAGCTCTTTGGTCTTTGCCATGGTGGAGAGTTTGGAATCTGATTGTTTGAATGCGCCTGTGGACAGGTGTCTTTTATACAGGTAACAAAATGGTATTAGCAGCACTCCCTTTAAGAGACTGCTTCTAATCTCAGCTTGTTACCTGTATGAAAGACACCTGGTAGCCAGAAATCCTGCTGAATGATAGGGATCAAATACTTATTTCCCTCATGAACATGCAAATCAGTGCATAATTTGTTAGACATGCATTTCTTTTGAAGTTTTTGTCGCAATTCTGTCTCTCATTGTTACAATACCTAATGGCAGTCAGGGTGCCATTGTCTAGCCTGTGGAGATCTGTGCATCCCTCTATGGATATGCCTCCACAGACCTTCATTGACCCACCACCAAAACGGTCATGCTGAACAATGTTACAGGCAGCATAGCATTCTCCACAACTTCTCCAGACCCTTTCAAGTCTGTCACATGTGCTCAGGGTGAACTTGCCCTCATCTGTAAAAAACCACAGGGCGCCAGTGGAATACCTGCCAATTCTGGTGTTCAATGGAAAATGCCAATCGAGCTCTATGGTGCCGGGCAGTGCGCACAAGGCCCACTAGAGAATGTCGGGCCCTCAGGCCACCCTCATGAAGTCTGTTTCTGATTGTTTCATCAGAGACATTCACACCAGTGGCCTGCTGGAGGTCAATATGTAGGGCTCTGGCAGTGCTCATCCTGGTCCTCCTTGCACAAAAGAGCAGATAACGGTCCTCCTGATTGGGTTAAGAACCTTCTATAGATGTCAGGAATCAAGGAATGACCAGAAAGGTGTGGACTGACACAAGGAAACGCAGGTTTCAGGTATAGTATAATAATACAGTTTATTATTAGCCACCCATATATATATATATATATATATAAACGCACAGTGAACAAACCAACCTTCCACTAATCTTAGTAGGTGCAGGAACACAGGCGTAGTCAGGGCTGGAGAGGTGGAACGGTCAGGCCGGCCGTAGGGTTCTGTAATGACCGTTTGGTGGTACCTCTAGTGGTCCCCAGGACAGGATTCCCCAGGGCGCGGAGTCTAAGTCCCAGTCTGCTTATTCACCAGGGCCCCTGATGGTGGGGATGGACTTGGAGCAGACAGGAACCAGGTCGCGGCCCCTGAGTACACCTGCTAGTGGTAGAGGGATCCGCCAGAGGTATGTGCAGGTACGGCTGGATCCGTGCAGGATGGATGGATGGCAGAGTAGTTAGCGTGGTCAGACGGGCCAAGTCAGCAACGTGCGGGCAGCAAGGTACCAAAGGAGCTGGCAGAGAATGGTCAAGGTCACAAGCCGGGTTCAGTAACTCACGGGCAGCACGGTACAGGGGGATCAGACAGAAGGATGGTCAGGCAAGCCAGGGGTTCAACAGGAGACGGTCAGCAGAGGTCAGGATCAAGCCGGGTCAGCAACAAAGCAGGAACACAGGATACCAGGTACAGAGGCTCATGGGAAAACATACACCAAGGCCCAGAGCACAGGCCTGGTCATGCCTTAAATACACCTTTCTGCAATCAGCCCCAGGTTTGGCTGATTGTGAGCTTCTGGCTGCTAAGAGCACCCGCTGGTCAGCTCTGGTACTGCAGCCCACACGGCAGGTGAGTCCCACCACCAGTGCTGAGTCCATTCCTGACAATAGCCCTGTCCAGCTCTCCTAGAGTAACTGTCTGTTTCCTGGAATCTCCTCCATGCTCTTGAGACTGTGCTGGGAGACACAACAAACCTTCTGGCAATGGCACATATTGATTTGCCATCCTTGAGGAGTTGGACTGCCTGTGCAGCCTCTGTAGGGTCCAGGTATCGCCTCATGCAACCAGTAGTGACACTGACCATAGCCAAATGCAAAACTAGTGAAAAACAGTCAGAAAAGATGAGCATGGAAAAAAAAATGTCAGTGGCCTCCACCTGTAAAACTATTTCTGTTTTGGGGTTGTCTCATTGTTGCCCATCTATTGCACCTGTTGTTAATTAAACTGATTAACAACCCCCTCTGCTACTTAACTGACCAGATCAATATCCCAGGGGAGTTTAACTGGCTTGATGCTATACTCTGATTAAAAAGTGTTCCTTTAATTTTTTTGAGCAGTGTACGTTTCTACACTTGAGTTGATGTTGGATAACATTGTGTATTCAGTACTTAAAGTTTATCCATTAGATAGTGTGTAAAAATGTGCTCACTATATCAAATTACAATGTGAACATGAATAAGTAACCATATACAAAATTACATGAAAAATTATCACAAAATCTCAAATGAAAAGTCCCAATGTGAAAAAATTATAAGCATCCAGAAACCAAAAATGAGAAAACGTAGCCATATCCAAAAGTAAAACTGACTGAAGAAACAGTATCCTGAGGTAATTAGAAAGGGCCTCCACCAAATAACACATGCAGGCCTACCAGATAACCATGATCCTCTGGTTAGAGAAAGGTCATGGAGTGCTTTGGTATAGTGAACTCGTGGAGGACTCCTCTAGAGAATTCCTTAAAAATTATGCTTGAATCGGCGGGTACCTCCAAATTGAAAATCTCTCAAATACTCATCCATCCATCAGATTTATACAGAATTACATGAAAAATTATCACAAAATCTCAAATGAAAAGTCCCATGTGAAAAAATTATAAACATCCAGAAACCAAAAATGAGAAAACGTAGCCATATCCAAAGGTAAAACTGACTGAAGAAAAGGGATCCTGAGGTAATTAGAAAGGGCCTCCACCAAATAACACATGCAGGCCTACCAGATAACCATGACCCTCTGGTTAGAGAAAGGTCATGGAGTGCTTTGGTATAGTGAACCCGTGGAGGACTCCTCTAGAGAATTCCTTAAAATTTATGCTTGAATTGGCGGGTACCTCCAAATTGAAAATCTCTAAAATACTCATCCATCCATCAGATTTATACAAGAAATAGAAGCAGAGAATCCAACATAGTGTTAAACCTTCCACAGAGACTATTAAAAATGGTAAAACACTCAAATATAAAAAGATCGCAATGGCATGTACTGTATATACAAACAATTCTTTCAGTAAAGAAGATGGCCTCCAGCAGACTTCTGGTTATGCAATGACATCACAGCAGGCTCATCTTATAATTTTTTTACATTGGGATTTTTCATTTGTGATTTTCTGATAATTTTGTAATTTTATGTCATTTTGTATATGGTTACTTATGCATGTTCACACTGTCATTTGATAAAACGCAGCACATTTTTTACACCGTATGCCAAAGTATGCAGTTCACGTTTTTTCTAACATTATCCAATAGATAAAAAGTGTTATTTTCTAACTCTGGCGCCCTTCATCAAATACTAAATTTTTGGATAAAGACCTGCCAAAAATGTGCCACAACAGATGAAACCAGGAAAAGGGTAATATTTTGTAAAGGTGCTATACGTAGCTCCTCCACCATTTTACACATGTCTATATTATAATATGATCTTCTCACTCTGCAACATACCTGTAAATGTTCTGATTCATATCTGTGTTAATTAACAATCCATTTTTCCTCCATTCCACTCTTGGTTTAGGGTTACCTGTAACTTCACATTTCAGTGTTTTTTGATTATTCACTATAGTGGTAATATTTGTTTGGCCAGGGTTTATCAGTGGTGGATCTGTAAAACATTTGCAGGAAAACATCTTAATAAATGTATATTAAATTGTTGTCTGTAAATATTGAAAAACTTTGCTATCACCAAGCAGGTGAGCAAGAACTTAGATTTTTCTGTAGTTCTGCAGGGCTTTTGAAAATAAGGTAAGTTTTATGGTTACGCTTCCCAACACTATATGCACATAAATAAATTTGAGATTGGTATATTATAATACTGAAAAGTGCTTAATTTAAATTAAACCATTTTGGATTTTACTCTGGTTAAGGTCCTAGTTAGTTTCTATAGAAGGTGTTTTCATCTAAATCTACATATGTTTTTTGTACTTGTATATACAGAAATTTATTTCAGAACAGCTTTGCTTTCCATGCAAGCCAATGTGAACTCAAAGCAACTCAGAAATAGCTAAAAATAATTCAGAACCTTGTAAGGTTATATGACCTGCTTCTTATTTAAGCTGGCCATTGATGAGTTGTTTTAATTTTGAACAGATTTCTCCATCCACACAAGTGAGTTGAGTGCAGGTATTCCCCTGGAGAGACATTGTATTCTGACAGTGGGGCTCTCTGCTGTCAAAACACATTGATCGACATTCAAATTTTAAAACAGTCAAATATGAATAACTTCTGTTGAACGGGGACAGCTACATATGGATCGAAATGAGTCCAGTTCCTAGTTAACTGGCCAAATTTTGATACCTCTATGGTCAGCTTTATGGGCAAGCCACCTAAAGAATTTTCCTTTCTTCCTGCCTCTTCCTCTTGATTCGCTGTCGGACTGTCACACACTCTTCTGAATAGAAGCTTTGTGACTTTTTTATTTGAAATATTATGATATATTCCAAAGTAAAAAGTACTATATTATAGAAACAGAAAAGTACATCATTTCTTGTTTGTTCTGTGTTATTATGACTGCACTAGCAACCTTGCCTAAAAACAGCCTGGACTGGATATAAAAAGAAGTTTGGGCATTAGTAAGATAAAATTAAAAATAATTGGGCATTAGTAAGATAAAATTAAAAATAAACCAAACATAAAGGGAAATGTGTAACACAAGGTTGCTACAAACCAATATGTGCTACCATCATTTGGCCAGGGGCCAGGGGATCCTGTAACTGAAAACCAATTAGTTTTCTTAAGCCAGTGATAGCTTTTTTAGTATTGCTATGTTCACTTAGCACTACAGCCTTGATTGCACTTAGTACATATTAATAAAGATTTACCTGCTCTAGTTCTTAAAATATAAACAAAAAACACCTTCATCTGAGATGCAAAGATCAAACCTCCCCTGAGGCCAATTTTAAAATACACATAGTCTATGGAAAAGGCAACACTACCTGATTTGTGCATAAATTCTGTTCAGACTATGACAACTGCAAAACATTTTCCAGCACCATATTCAAATTCTCAATAAAATTAGTTTCATATAATGAATATTAGTATTGTTCTTTGTTCAGTATACGTTTACTTCTGAAATAAAGCCATTCCTTACAATCCCATATCATACATACCGTAAACCAAAAGCTCAATCTGTTTCTGGGTAGATCCAGCTGCATTAGCTGCAAGGCAGGTGTACAGACCAGAGTCTGTAACACTGGCTGATGAAAAATAAACTGTGCCAGATTCCATAACAGTGTATCTGAAATAGATACAATCAGTTAACATTATAGATACAATCTATATACAGTCAGGTCCATAAATATTGGGACATCGACACAATTCTAACCTTTTTGGCTCTATACACCACCTCAATGGATTTGAAATGAAATGAACAAGTTGTGCTTTAACTGCAGACTGTCAGCTTTAATTTGAGGGTATTTACATCCAAATCAGGTGAACGGTGTAGGAATTACAACAGTTTGCATATGTGCCTCCCACTTGTTAAGGGAAAAAAAGTAATGGGACAGAATAATAATCATAAATCAAACTTTTACTTTTTAATACTTGGTTGCAAATCCTTTGCAGTCAATTACAACCTGAAGTCTGGAACGCATAGACATCACCAGACGCTGGGTTTCATCCCTGGTGATCCTCTGCCAGGCCTCTACTGCAACTGTCTTCAGTTCCTGCTTGTTCTTGGAGCATTTTCCCTTCAGTTTTGTCTTCAGCAAGTGAAATGCATGCTCAATCGGATTCAGGTCAGGTGATTGACTTGGCCATTGCATAACATTCCACTTCTTTCCCTTAAAAAAACTCTTTGGTTGCTTTTGCAGTATGCTTTGGGTCATTGTCCATCTGCACTGTGAAGTGACGTCTAATGAGTTCTGAAGCATTTGGCTGAATATGAGCAGATAATATTGCCCGAAACACTTCAGAATTCATCCTGCTGCTTTTGTCAGCAGTCACATCATCAATAAATACAAGAGAACCAGTTCCATTGGCAGCCATACATGCCCACGCCATGACACTGCCACCACCATGCTTCACTGATAAGGTGGTATGCTTAGGATCATGAGCTGTACCTTTCCTTCTCCATACTCTTCTCTTCCCATCACTCTGGTACAAGTTGATCTTGGTCTCATCTGTCCATAGGATGTTGTTCCAGAATTGTGAAGGCTTTTTTAGATGTTGTTTGGCAAACTCTAATCTGGCCTTCTTGATTTTGAGGCTCACCAATGGATTACATCTTGTGGTGAACCCTCTGTATTCACTTTGGTAAAGTCTTCTCTTGATTGTTGACTTTGACACACATACACCTGCCTCCTGGAGAGTGTTCTTGATCTGGCTAACTGTTGTGAAGGGTGTTTTCTTCACCAGGGAAAGAATTCTTTGGTCATCCACCACAGTTGTTTTCCGTGGTCTTCCGGGTCTTTTGGTGTTGCTGAGTTCACCGGTGCATTCCTTCTTTTTAAGAATGTTCCAAACAGTTGTTTTGGCCATGCCTAATGTTTTTGCTATCTCTCTGATGGGTTTGGGGTTTTTTTTCAGCCTAATGATGGCTTGCTTCACTGATAGTGACAGCTCTTTGGATCTCATCTTGAGAGTTGACAGCAACAGATTCCAAATGCAAATAGCACACTTGAAATGAACTCTGGACCTTTTATCTGCTCATTGTAAGTGGGATAATGAGGGAATAACACACACCTGGCCATGGAACAGCTGAGAAGCCAATTGTCCCATTACTTTTGGTCCCTTAACAAGTGGGAGGCACATATGCAAACTGTTGTAAATCCTACACAGTTCACCTGATTTGGATGTAAATACACTCAAATTAAAGCTAACAGTCTGCAGTTAAAGCACATCTTGTTCGTTTCATTTCAAATCCATTGTGGTGGTGTATAGAGCCAAAAATGTTAGAATTGTGTCAATGTCCCAATATTTATGGACCTGACTGTAAATCTATATCAACCAATTATAACATTAAATAGATACAATCAGATAGCCATTTATTTCAGCAGAATTTATTGCCTATTTAAATATTACTCCTTAGTAAAATAAAATTAACAAAATATGTAATTTCCATTCTCAGTGAACGATGCCCTAGAGCAGTGGTTCTCAACCTGTGGGTCGTGACCACTTTGGGGGGCGAACGACCCTTTCACAGGGGTCATCTAAGACCAAGACATACTTCCGATGTGTAAAGAGCAGCTGCTGTGTAGAAAGCAGCCGCTCTGTAGAAAGCAGCTACTGTGTAGAAAGCAGCTACTCTGGTGAAAGCAGCTACTGTGTTGAAAGCAGCAGTATTGGAGGTAAAACGACACTTCATGAATTATAATTACTGGGTAAATAATTTTATGGTTGGGGGGTCACCACAACATGAGGAACTGTATAAAAGGGCCGCGACATTAGACAGGTTGAGAACCACTGCCCTAGAGTAAAAGTAATAGATCTTAAAGAAAGTTCATGCACCAAGCAGATCACATCACTCTATACAATATGGTATATTCATAAATACCATACAGCACATTCAGTTATTCATACTGACTTGGCACCCTAATAATATCACTGTAAGTGCATAGCCCCAGCCATCTCTCTTCTAGAGCCAAAAATGGTGAAACAAACTTGGGAACTTCCCAGCAACCCCCCACACATGTATTGTGTTGTGTATTGTGTTCTCACCACTTCATGATGATTCACAGAGGTCATCACAGAGGACAATCTCCAAATACGGAAAGTTGTTTTGCGCAGTAAGAGCTGTGAAAATGTGGAATAGATTCTCTCAAGAGTTGTTTCTGGCCAGCTCAGTAGATTGCTTTAAAAAAGGCGTGGATTATTTTCTAAATGCACATAATATAACTGGATACTAACATTTATAGGTAAAGTTGAGTTATCTGATTGCCTCCTGGGGGAACAGGAAGGGATTTCTTCTTCTGGGGAAGATTGGATTGTGCTTTGCTGGGGGGGGGGGCATTTTTCTGGATCAACTGTGGGAATAGGATAGTGTATATAGGATTGTACGCATTTTTTTTCCTTTTTATTGGTTGAACTAGGTAGACTTTTGTCTTTTTCAACCAGACTAACTATATACCTATGTAACTAAGTTTCAGATCCATACCCACTCCTTAGTCTGTGCTGTGTGTTATTTTAAGTAACTAATGTATGTACATTTAAACATTTGTTAAAAGACATCTATGGAGGTACGGCATTGCTTTCTCTTTTCTCTTCAACTTTTAGAAGTGTAGGTGTCACAAAACCAGATCTCCATGGAAGGCACATCTATTATGCCTTGCAGGTGGGATGATGAGAGGAGGGGTCCTGTATTGTTTCTATGCACAATGTTCAGTGGAGAGCATTCTATGCAATTTAAAAATTGGGATGCAAGTAAAGGAACTTCTGCATTATTGTTATAAACTCACCAGCCACTTTATTAGATACACCTGCTCATTAGCTTGGTAACACAAATTGCTAATCAGCCAATAACATGGTAGCAACTCAATGCATTTAGGCATCTAGACTTGGTGAAAACGACTTGCTGAAGTTCAAACCGAGCATCAGAAAGGTGAAAAAAAGGGATTTAAGTGCCTTTGAACATGGCATGGTTGTTGGTGCCAGGCGGAGTGATCTGAGTATTTAAAAAACTGCTGTTCTACTGGAATTTTCACACACAACAATCTCTAGGGTTTACAGATAGTGATCTGAAAAAGATAAAAAAAATCCAGTGAACAGCAGTTGGGTGGACAAAAATGCCTTGTTGATGTCAGAGTTCAGATGAGAATGGCCATCCCTTTATGACTACAGTGTACCCATCTTCTGATGGCTACTTCCAGCAGGATAATTTCAACACCTTGTTGAATCTATGCCACAAAGAATTAGGCAGTTCTGAAGGCAAAAGGGGGTCCAACCCAGTTCTAGCAAGGTGTACCTAATAAAATAGCTGTGAGTGTACACTGAGCATGATAAAAGTTAATGCTATTTAGCCTTTAGCAGCTGGGAAGATAACAGATTTTCTATATACAGAGTTGATGTATTATTGTCATACCTGCAAACATTTTCTCCCTCATTCTTGTATTTCTCCCAGTTGTCTGCAGCAGTTTCCATTTGTTTTGCCTGGCAGTGATATGTACCAGGCAATGCCATTCATCCTCATAAAAAAACATATCTAACCTCTATTATCCTCATACCACTATGATAATATTCTCCCACCTTTGCACTGCTTAAAACACAGACAGTCTCTGTCTGGACTTATGGCAACTTGCATTTTAGCATCAACTTGTTTTTCAGGTTTATCAGTAGCAAGATACCTGACCTACATGATACTTATCTTACTTTAGTCTTGTTTTAATAGTCTATGTTTCCAAACAGTGATACAAATTCAAATGAAACTATAATAGAGTGCAAATATCCAAAGAAGATGGTCAGAGATAGTGGGCATGATACTGGTCAAAGACTGAGATCATAGAGGTGATGATTGTGACAACATTAAAAAATACAAGGAGAATGTTGGCAGTGTGGAGCAAGTGACTCAGCATCAGATAGCGTTATAGTCAGCTAGCGCCCCTCTCAGACAGTGTCAGATTGCCCACCACTACATCAGTCATCACGTTTAACCCTTTAATTGCCAGGAACATGCTTACATACACAATAAACCTTCATTGCTAGTATAGTGTCTCAAAGGAGCAATATCTTTGATCAGATCAGAACTATACCATAATTCACAATAGTATACTGTTCTAAAAAATGCAATGTTAGCAGGATCAGCCCCAGCACCTGCCAGCACCTGCGTTTAGTCCCTCTGCTTAACCCCCCCTTCTCCCCCAGCAAGTGCAGTGTCAGTAGGTCATTGTCACTTGATTCATTGCACACAAAACTACAGGATTAGCAAGATCAGTACTGATCTCTGCTAGCACTAGCAGGTAAATTTTTTTGTAGCTGTTTAAGCAGTCCCTGACAGCCAGGGGCTCTTTTTCCTGTGAGTCGGACTAGGTACCAAAACAAGAGCGAAGGGGAAGCCTCACTGACAGAATCAGGCTTGGAATTCTAACCTATAGAGAGTAGCGGCACCCTGACAGATAGCACAGACAATGGAGTACTAACTAAGGTCAGGCACACTCGACCCTGTTCCCAGGTTGCTGAGGTGTTACAATTGCATGATGATTTTCATATGCAGCAGCGTGCCAGTTCTAGTGCCACTCTAACTTTTGGTGATCTGCCGAGCACCAGCAGCCTAGCACATCGTGGTCTTTTACATACCAGCAGGCAGTATCACTTGGTGACGTGGTGAGTTCCATAAGTGAAGTACAAACTGGTGCAGTGGCTAGCACAAGTAGTGTCCTGCAGTCACCAAGAATTGGAACACAGACCCGTAGAAGCCATAGTGCCCTTCTGGATGTGCTTGCAAATCCTGTTTGGTGGTCCACAAATTCTGCAGCAACCCGGAATTCAGGTGGAAACAGCAAATGTAACTACTCCCCTTGATTTTTTGGAGCTGTTTTTATGGAAGATCTGTATGGATTAGTTTCCCATAAAGCCAGACGATGATCCAAAAATGTCAATATATTTATTTTAATTGGTTCTGTACAACGCTTTTGTCATTTACAAAGCAACTGGACAAAGTGGATCCTTCCTAAAATTCCAGGAAGAGATCATCACAGCGCTTTTCTATCCAGAAGGTGCTGTTGCCCAAACTCCCAACCCAAACATGGAATTAGACATTAGAAATTTGCAGATGTCTATACTCCCCAGCAAAATATATGCGTTGATAAGTCCTTCATTAATTTTTCTGGCCGCCTTGCATTTAAACAATTTCTCCCCGGCAAGCGTGCCAGATATGGGGTCAAAATGTATAAGAGCTCGAAGAGGGCAACAGATTATACATCTAATTTTTGGATTTACGTGGATCCCCTGGAGCCCCCGGATGCCCAGACTACATGAGAAGCACTGGCAAGATACTTTGAAACTTGGTGTCACCCTTTATGCATATGGGTTACCACTTATACATGCACAATTTTTATACAAGATGATGATACATGATGAACTGCTGGCAGTGAAGTGGAAGGATAAATGGGATGTTTTTGTCCTGTCTTCCATTCACATAGACTCGACCATCCAAAATTTACATGGCAGAAGGTGTTGAGAACTGGGTCATTTGGGGGTGTTTGTACTGCCCTGGCATTTTAAGAAATGTGATAGGCAGTCAGAAAGTAAAAGCTGTGTAAATTCCAGTATCCATACCATAGCTTGTAGACACTATAACTTTCACACAAACCAATTGATATACACTTATTGGGATTTTTTTTTACTAAAGACATGTAGCAAAATACATTTTGTCCTAAATTTATGGCAAACTGTGAGTTTATTGGATAGTTTTTATAACAGAAATGAGAAAAAAGTTTTTTTCAAAATATTAGTTTTTTTTTTTATATAGCGCAAAAAATAAAAAACCCAGGAGCATTGCATGACCGCGCAATTGTCAGTTAAACTAGCACAGCACTGTATAGCAAAAAAATGGTGTAAATTCCAGTATCTATACCATAGTTTATAGACGCTATAACTTTCACATAAACCAGTAAATATACACTTATTGGAATTTTGTTTACCAAAGACATGTAGCAAAATACATTTTGGCCTAAAGTTATGAAGACATTTTAGTTAATTGGATGCATTTTATAACAGAAATGAGAAAATATTAGGTTTTTTTTTAATTAAATTTTTGGTATTTTTTTGTTTATAGTGCAAAAATAAAAAACCCAGGGGTGATCAAATACCACCAAAAGAAAGCTCTATTTATGGTAAAAACAATGACATAAATATTATTTATGTACAGCATTGCATGACCGTGCAATTTTCAGTTAAACTAGCACAGCACTGTATAGCAAAAAATGGCGTAAATTCCAGTATCTATACCATAGTTTATAGACGCTATAACTTTCACATAAACCAGTTAATATACACTTACTGGGATTTTGTTTACCAAAGACATGTAGCAAAATACATTTTGGCCTAAATTTATGACATTTTAGTTAATTGGATGCATTTTATAATAGAAATGAGAAAATATTAGGTTTTTATTTTAATTAAATTTTTGGTATTTTTTTTTGTTTATAGCGCAAAAAATAAAAAACCCAGAGGTGATCAAATACCACCAAAAAAAAGCTCTATTTGTAGGGAAAAAATTACATAAATGTAATTTATGGGCAGTATTGCATGACCACGTAATTGTCAGTTAAACTATTACAGCGCCTAATAGCAATAAATGGTGTAAATTCCAGTATCTATAGCATAGTTTGTAGACGCTGTAACTCTCACATAAACCATTTAATATACACATATTGGGATTTTTTTTTACCAAAGACATTGCCTAAATTTATGATGAAATTTGAGTTAATTGGATATTTTTTATAACAGAAATTATAAAATATTGTTTGTTTTCAAAATTTTCGGTATTTTTTTGTTTATAGCACAAAAATAAAAAACCCAGTGGTGATAAAATACCACCAAAAGAAAGCTCTATTTGTGTGAAAAAAAAGGACATTTGGGTACAGCAGTGCATGATCGCGCTGAATAGCAAAAAATGGCCTGGTCAAGAAGGGGGGTAAATCTTCCGAAGGGAAAGTGGTTAAAGTGGCACCAGCCCAGGGCAAATACCTCTTTGCCCAGTCTGTTCCTATAGTTACCTTCATCTCCAAAGATTTACAGTAAATTAACCACCTTTCATCCCTGATATACATTTGCACCTGCATTTTATATCCCAGATATCACACAAGAGTCATCATTTTAGTCTTCTTTGTTTTGTATTTTTCATTTTTCCTATCCTAATTATATATTTTTCACCTTTTTTGGCTTTTTAAAATAAAAAAAAAATCATCTTACCTCACATTGTTCTCATGGAGAATAGCTCCATTTTTCCTCCAGGATATGCGCGGCAATGGGACTCCAGCAGCCTTGCACTCCAAATTAGCAGGATTGTTGACAAAAGTTGTAACTAAAATTGGTCCATCTTTTATTGTTGGAGGAACTGTTAACCAAAAACAGTGTATTATTGTTGAGTTCTAGAAATGGAAACTAAAAATTAATACTATAGTCAAGAATAAGTATTACCATATATATTAAGGATGAACTCTCTGGTAGTTTTTCCGGCAATGTTTCTAGCAATACAGATATAGTGTCCAGCATCTTCCACCTCTGCACTATTGATATGAACAAATCGTCCATCAGATTCAATGCGTATTCTAACGTTGGGCTAAAAAAAGTGGAGAAATATACACAAATGTATATAATGATTTAAACATAGTCTTTCTTCAAGCAGGCAAGTAAATTATATTTGTATATTAAATACTGTAGCTATATTTGTAAAATAAATATTGTACACTATCTGTATATTGTTTTACTAAGGATTGTGTTTCATAGCAGGTTAATTATCCAGTTATAATAAATAGGAGCTTGTTTACATGGCAATTATGTCACCTATCTCACCCCAGTAATGATTCGTATGAAAGACAAAGAAAGTTGTATGGTTGTATAGGAATGCACAGAGAACTGTAGCTCTAATGCAAACATCTGATTTATGTGCCAGTGATGGACAGCGGAGAGGTTTGTATATGTAGATTGTTTATTTATTAATTGATTGATTGATTGATTTTTAATTTAATCCAGTCTCACTGTTTTTCTGAAAGTATTACGGCCTCCTTTGCACTTGGATTGAGGCCCATAGACTGTGAATTGGCCATTTGTTCATGCTGCTGGAGCTTACAGGTGATGTGTGGAGGCAGTCTATGTAATTATATGAGCATGCAGCAACACAGCTAGGTGCCCTAATGTGAAAGGGGTACAGGTGTGAGAGCATACTGTCTAAATTCAGGGCTGCTCACCCACTCCAACATGCTTGTCACATTAGGATGACCAACTATGTCTGTACAGCTGCTGTGTCCGGATAGACTTGCATAGGCTGCCTGCATGCAGCACATGGCAGGTTCAGATGCATAAATAACCAACCATCCATGGATATAGGGCCTAAAGATTTTATTAAATGCTTAGTTACTTTACCCATTCAGACAAAATCAAGGCTACATTTTCATTCCAATTATATTGTTTTTTGGACATCCTTAAAAAAATAATGTTTACATACATTCATACAGTACATACATATATTTTTGCCTTCAGAGCACAAATACATTTAGAATAGAAATGGATATGAGGTGCTATATTCCAAAAAAAGGCAAGGTCCATAAATGATAATTGCTTTAATAACAATTGTCGCAAAGCTGAGCAATTCACACCAAGCATAATAAAAATGCTCAGTAGATCCACACATATAGGAACATATTGGGATAATAAGTATGCATATCTTACTTGTAAAAGTTTAATTTAAAGTGAAACTAAACCCTCCAATTTGCATACAAAATGAACTATAAATCTACTCATTATTTGCCACATATTGCTCTAGACTCAACCCTCAAATTGGAGAAGTTGATTTGATGTATCACATGACATGTGGATAACATTGTCAGTAAAAATCATTTTTTGATTGCACAAAACATCAGAAATCTCACTAACTTGCATATTACAATTTTTTATATATATGATAACTAGCAATTTGCCGGTTTTTATAAAAATATGATAAAAGCCATATGATTTTCTTTCAGCTGTTCTGTTCCTAGCTATCCAAGTTATTTATTTAATTCTTTGAAGTCATACATACTGGTACCTAAGAGAATTGGTGATAATGATAATGGGGCAATCTACTGGGGTCTGTAATAAGAAAAAATTAAGCACCTTGCTTTAAAAGAATTTAAACAAATTATTTAAAGAATTACTTTTGCATCCTGCCCCATAGATACAAAATTTATTGCGAGGAAATCTTTCAAAAGTAGTAAAAGTCCCCTCTTGAATGCCCATCACTGAAACACGTGCACCAAATAAAAACTGTATTTAAATATAAAAGGTGAGGCTATAACAATAGCAATTAAATGAGTTGTGTGGTACATTTATATTGGGGGATCACCACCCCATAAAAGGCAGGAAAAAATGTAACAAGTAAGGAAAAGGGGCCCACCAATATCTATATGTACCTATTAGAAAACCAACTACATAGTCATAAATTTAATATAAAAAAAAGCTCAATCGTATTTATTAGTAATTCAATTCAAAAAATGAAACTCATATATTATATAGATTCATTACACACAGAGTAATATATTTCAAGCATTTCTTTCTGTTAATGTTGATGATTATGGCTTACAGCTAGTGAAAACCCAAAATTCAGTATCTCAGAAAATTAGAATAATACATAAGACCAATAAAAAAGGATTTTTAATGCAGAAAAGTTGTCTTACTGAAAGGTATGTTCATGTACAGTATAGTATGCGCTCAATATTTGTTCCTGGCTCCTTTTGCATGAAATACTGTATCGATGCGGCGTGGCATGGAAGCAATCAGCCTGTGGCACTGCTGAGGTGTTATGGAAGCCCAGGTTGCTTTGATAGCGGCCTTCAGGTCTTCTGCATTGTTGGGTCTGGTGTCTCTCATCTTCCTCTTGACAATACCCCACAGATTCTCTATGGGGTTAAAGTCAGGCAAGTTTGCTGGCCAGTCAAGTACAGTGATGCCATGATCATTAAATCAGGTATTGGTACTTTTGGCAGTGTGAGCAAGTGCCAAGTTCTGCTGGAAACTGAAATCAGCATCTCCATAAAGCTGGTCAGCAGAGGGAAGCATGAAGTGCTCTAGAATTTCCTGGTAGATGGCTGCGCTGACTTTGGACTTGATAAAACACAGTGGACCAACCCCAGCAGATAACATGGCTCCCCAAATCATCACTGACTCTGGAAACTTCATACTGGACCTCATGCAACTTGGATTCTGTGCCTCTCTACCCTTCCTCCAGACCCTGGAGTCTTGATTTTACTTTCATCTGAAAAGAGGACTTTGGACCACTGAGCAACAGTCCAGTCCTTTTTCTCCTTAGCCCAGGAAAGATGCTCAGAAAGATGTTTATGGTGGCTCTTGAAGCACTGACACCAGCCATAGTCCACTCCCCCCCAAATTCTTGAATGGCCTTTGCTTAACAATCCTCTCAAGGCTGCGGTTATCCCTGTTGCTTGTACACCTTTTTCTACCACACTTTTTCCTTCCACTCAACTTCCCATTAATATGCTTGGATACAGCACTCTGTGAACAGCTAGCTTCTTTAGCAATGACCTTTTGTGACTTACCCTCCTTATGGAGGGTGTCAATGACTGTCTTCTGGACAACTGTCAAGTCAGCAGTCTTCCCCATAATCGTGTAACCTACTGAGCCAGACTGAGAGACCATTTAAAGGCTCAGGAAACCTTTACAGGTGTTTTGAGTTAATTAGCTGATAAAAGTTCTAATTTTCTGAGATACTGAATTTTGGGTTTTCACTAGCTGTAAGCCATAGTCATAAAAATTAAAATAAAGAAATGCATGACTATATCACTCTGTGTGTAATTAATCTATATAGTAAATGAGTTTCACTGTTTGAATTGAATTAGTGGAATAAATTACGTTTTTGATGGTATTCTAATTTATTGAGATGCACCTGTATACATATATACAGATCAATGTTTTTACTGGCCTTGGTAGAAAGGTGGTAAGATGATGAATCAGCACAAAAAAAATATAATAATATCAAAAATATAACTCATCCCACAATGGAAACTTACAAAAACATGTGGATAGGGCCAAGATACAGTCCAGGCTGTGGGGAGGCATGAAAAGGAGACCTTAGATGACAGGGGACAAACCAAATTCTCAGACCCTCTAGAACGAAACAGAATTAATCCAAATTAACTAAAAACATATGCTCCAGTGGCAACTCCCAACCATTTAAATATATGCCACTTGGACCAGTGCTATAAATTCATACCATACTTACTCAAGTGCAGGGAACAGTAAATTCAGCTGTTCTGAGCCCAGCAACAACCAAATTGATGGTCTCATAATATATTTCCTCACATCCTCAAATAATGAGAGGGAATTAGATGAAACACAGGCCAGGTGCCAATATAATAGATCTAATTCAATATTCCAAGATGGAAACCTAAAGAGCCAAATAGGGCAACATTTTGTGGAATGACATGCTTATAAAGTAGATTTTCTACAGTTCTTCACTTTGGCGAGAATGCACCCCCACGTTTGTGGGGGTGATTTTGAGCAGTGAATACTGCAAATGAAGGCAAAGTGGATTTACAAGCTGGGTGCCACGACCCCTCCTGGATTAAATGACTCCATTAGCTTTGCTCCATTTCTGACAGAGACATGATTGGCTGAGTTAAGCCAATGGTGTCCCTGTTTTTCCCTACATGGGTATAATATTAATCTATATGAGGTATTGGGATCCTGGCACTTTGTTATTTTACTATTGAGTTTGGAATTTAATTTACATTGTGAGCTCTGAGGATTGTGGGAGAGGGAAATCAACATTATTCAACAACATTTTTTATGGCATTTTGCTTTGTTTTGATTGATTGGTTTTCATATAATTTGGTTATTATGTTATGTTGTTAGATAGGGCAACCAAGGTATAATGTCTCTGTTTGGGCTATGTCCCCTTTGGGAAAAATAAGTGGGCTGCCTGCTGGATAACATGCCTTTTCTTTTTTGGACAATGTGTGGATATGAGTCCTTTTGATTAGTTGACTTCGGCCTTTTGTGTGGATTCCTGAGACTGGAAGGCCGCTGCTCCTTGTGTCACCATGGCGCCGTTGTGTGCATCATTTCACCATTACATATTTGCGTCATGAAGTAATTGCACACATGCACAATGACGTCATCTCTGGCACAGCGGACAGTTTGGAAAGTGGACCACCTGAGGTACAGGGTCCAAGGTCAAATAATGAGGTAGTTTGGCATTTTCCTTATTTGGGAAGTGGCTTATAGACTTTATGGATATCACATGTGAGGGAGCCTCCCCATTGGGGAGAGGACTACCCTGGTCCCTACCTCTTTGTGAAGATGTGGTATTTTTACTGGATCACACATGGAGTGAAGGTGTGTATAGGTGGATCCTCAGGAGGTCCAGAGAAAATAAGATGGATTGGTAGATCAGACCTCCTTCTCTTAACTCCTGACAGCACACATGTGAGGATACTGGGTGTTCAAAGTGAGTTTTATGATCAATGGTAGGTTAAACAGGCCAGACTGGTAAATTATACTATTATTGATATGTGATGGTTTGCTAATCGGCCCTTCCTGCGTTGTGTTGATTTTGTAGAGGAGACA